TTTTAGGAGGAAGCTGATCACAGAGCATTACTTTGAGAATTATTTCAGTTTTCAGCTCGTGCATTTGTGAGAGTGACTCAAATATTCAGAGTTACAAGCTGCTGTTGGTCACTGAGTGAGCAAAGGCTCAGTGGTGGCCTTCACAAGGGACATTGGGCACCCTCTGGAGTTAGAGATGGAGAGAGAGAAGGGTTTAGACCTGAAATATGGAATATTCAAGCTGCCCCTGCAGTTATTTGAGTTGTGAGAGCATCAGCCTGCACCTGGCTTGCCTTTGGAGCACCAGCAGCGCTTCCTGCAGGGAGTGGGGCTGCAGTGGGCAGCAGAGCAGCTGCATTCCTTCTCCTTCCCTTCTGCAGTGGTAGTAACATCTGTCCCACAGGAATGCTGAGGATTTGGTCATCTCTGTAAATGACCTTGAGATCTCCAAACAAGCACATTCCAAAGCATCCTTTTTGTGTCTGCCTTTTCCTCAAGGACAGGCAGTTCCATAGGAATTATGGTATTACTTGTGTGTGGGGTACGGTGAAAATTTGTTTCTTTTGCCTTTGGTGTGCTTGGGTTGAGGAAGAGTTAAGGAGCCCTTGGTAGCTGCTTTGTGGGGATGTGAGCCAGTGGGAGTGGAGTTATTTCTGGGCTGGAGGCTGCTCTCAGCACAGTTACCTCCGTGCCTCCTCAGGAGTGTGGCAGGGACATTCTTCTCTCTCTCATAGAGCAGCACAGAGGGAAGAAAGAGAAAACAATTTCTATTTCTGCTTCTTGTTGTTCTCACGTGGAATGTGTTTGGAGAATTGTTTACCTTGGTTGGATTCTGGTGAGGATTGTTTGAGCCTGGTGGCCAATCCAATCCACGTGTGGCTGGACTCTCCAGAGAGGGTTACAAGTTGTGGGTGAGTTAGATTTGGTAGTTAGAAAAAGTAGGTTTGTAGTTTTAGTATCTCCTTTAAATAGTATATTAATGTATTAGAGTGTAGTTATAATAAAGAAATCATTCAGCCTTCTGAACTGGAGTCAGACATCAGCATTTCTTCCCATTGGGTTCACCTGCATTTACACTAGGAGAGCAGCTGTGGAGCTGCTTCGGGACCCTGTGGATCCCCCAGAAATGACAAAAATCAGAAACCCCCACATAGGATCGGGAGCAAAACGCTGAGGACAAAGCTCAGGGCAGGGGGAGCTCTGGCAGGGGCACAGCAGCAGCAGGAGGAGCTGCTGCTGGCCCGGGAAGGAGCCAGCTGGGGTGAGGGCATGGAGGGGCGGCTCGGCTGGCAGCACTAACCCCCCCTGTGCCCCCAGCACTACCTGACGTGTTTCAGCGGGACCATCGCCGTGCCCTTCCTGCTGGCCGATGCCATGTGCGTGGGCTTCGACCAGTGGGCCACCAGCCAGCTCATCGGGACCATCTTCTTCTGCGTGGGCATCACCACCCTGCTGCAGACCACCTTCGGCTGCAGGTGAGCCTGGCCTCGGGACTCTGGGCTCCCCAGCAGCCAGGGCTGGGGGCATTTGCAGAGGAGAGGCACAGAACTGACAGCAGCAGTTTTGCAAAGCCGCTCCCCAAAATTCTCAGGTGGATCTGAAATAGCACGAGGCATTCCAGGGGTGGGAAAATACAGCAAAGAGAGGAAACGCAGCAAGCAGAGAAGGCAGACGTGTTCCTGGGGGAGGAAAATTTATACACCTTGCTAAAGAGGAGCTGCCTGTGGTGCTTTTATGAATTTCTTCAGTGAGATTCTTGGTGATGTTTAGGTGGTTGTGATCAGTCCTACAGCAAATTGCATCCTGTGAAGGGCTTGGCAAGTTAAAAAGGCAGGGAAAAACAGTGAGGGAAGCATGTCACTCTGAGCTGAGTCTCTGTTACCTCCCAATCCCTGAAATAATTTGGGTTTATTTGTTGGCTGCTCTGTGTTAGGGCAGTGATCATTCCTGGAGCTGGGAGCACACACACAAAGGTGTGCAGGGATGCTCTCACCTCTTCTTAGGAGGGTGGGAGAGCCCAGGTGGCAAATCCTTCAATAAATCTGGTGTTGGCAAGAAAGATAAATCTTTCCAAACCCGTGTTCCACTGCACAGCTGTTTAACGTGCTGACCTCAACTTTGGGAATAACTAAAACCTGCAGAGTTATTTCTGCATCTTGAATAAAGCCAAACCAGAAGAAAAGTGCACATTTAACCCTCAGGTGGTTACTGAGGTGATTCTGGACTCACTCTGTTCACTTTCAGAGAAATGTGAGCTGAAATCTTGCCTTCCACTAGACAATTCCAAACACCCCCCACATTTTTAAGGATTTAATTAGAACTAGAATCTTCAGGTGGCAAAGGCGCCTCAGGAGGGCATGGAAGGCAAACCTGTGGTGGATCAGCTTTTCATGTAAAACATTTCCAGCTATTTCAGGTTTTCCAGTGTATCATTTGGTTGAGTTACCTTTGCTCTTTTTCCTTTGGGGAAAAAAACCTTCCCTGTATTTTTTTGTCTTATTGGACTTAAGAGCTCACCCCTCTGTCTTGGAAAGTTCACTCTGATGGCAAAACAGCAGAGTGGAAATGGTTGGAGAAGCAAACTTTCTTTCCCCAGTGTATTTTCTGTTAGTAAAGATTCCCCAGAGTCAATAATCTTATATCCAACCTGTCTGGCTCCTTGTGCTGTAACCATAAATCCTCATGTACTTTGTCTGGAAGTTTGTCATATTTGGGTTTTTTTCCCCCTAACTAATCTTGGCTTTTTATCACTTACTTGATTGAAATTTGGGGCTCATTCAGAGAGAAGGGACCCAAAATTACAGTGCCATCATTTTGAAATTCTCTGTTCTTTCTGTGTAATCCCACCCCTGCCCTCCACCCTGATGGGATTTTTCCCTTTTACGTGGCTCCCACTTGCACTGTACTTAAATTTTTACATCTCTGAAGGCCAAATTGTGTTTGGGTCTTAAAATAACTTTTGTTTAAGGAGGAAATTTCCACGCTGGGATGTTTTATAACTATTCCCCATGTGATGGGGGGTTTATGTAAGGCTGGGAATGGGATACAGCAGCACAGGCCTCTCAATGAGATTTGCAAGTATTCATTGGCAAGTCTGTCAACTGCAAAGTATTTCAGCAAATAAAGGTTTCAAAAGGCCAAATTCCACAGTTTAAGGGTCCTTAAGGATGGATTTAGCTCGATTACAGGCGGAGCTGTGGTCAGTTGGGTACCCAGACCAGTTCTAGGAATTCCAGCTATTCACTGGGTTGTGCAGAGCCCCAGCTCTGGCAGTTCATTAGTGGGTAATTAGTGGCACTGAGATGTCACACACAGCTTTAATCCACGCCAGGGTGGCAGCTCTGGTGCTGTGCCCTGCACTGGCTCAGCTTTCTCACGTCTGTGGGACGTGGGAACCTAAGGAGACATCTCCAGATGCCTGCAGAAAAACTCCTGTCTTCACAAGGGCCGTGCCAAAATGGAGCAGCTTGATGATTTAGACATGAATTTGAAATGATATCCCACTCGTGAGCTTTGGTGCTTGAAGCTTTTTGGTGCTTTAGCTGGCTGGCAGTGAGTGGCTGCCTTGAAGTCTGTAAGTCACATTTCAAACTGCAGCTGTCACTTGAGACAGAGACAGATCTCGGTTGACTAATTTTGAACAATTTGTTAAAAAAAAATACTTAAAATTAAATTACTTTTGTTTTAGCCCACAATTTTGAGCCTTTTTGGAGCTCCCTCAGTTACCTGTGTCACGTAAAAGTGGAGCAGGACCAGGTGCTGAGATGTGATTTGATTTTCCATCTGTGTGCTGGTGTTTGTTGGGATACAGAACAACCCAAGCTGGCAACAGTGACCTCAGCCCTGGAGAATGTGTTTGCAGTGTGTGTTTACCAAACCTCTGAGGGGGCTGTGTAGGTGGGATGGAGCAGTAGCAGCTTGTTCCAGGTATTGCAGCCCTGCCATGGGCACCAGCTCTGCTTAATGAACCTGGCAGGATGGGCTGAATCATTCCCTGAGCCACCAGCCCTGCCTTCCCGGAGGTGGAGCTGGGATTTGGGCACGGAGGAGCTCCCAGGGGGAGTTCTGTCAGGTCAGCCATGCTTGGGTGGCCCATGGAGTTTATGAAGTTGAGTTTCCAATGCAATTTTCAACATTTGGTGGCTTTGAAATTTCCCATGGCCCAAACTGCTCCTGTGAACTTCCCAACTCCCATTAATACCAAGCCTCTGGTTTGAGCTTTTCTGTGCTCACTGTGCACCATTTTCCCCTCACACCTCTCCTCCTGTGAGCATTTTCTGATCTTTACCTGAGCCTGAGCAGTTCTTTTTCCTGCCCTGATGCCTGAGCAATTCTCTGTGTCACACCTTGGGGTCTCCTGTTAAAGGGGCTCTCATGGCAGTGCATTAATGTCAGCATTTGCAGAGTATTTCAGAGTGCATCTGCAGTTAAGTAACGTCAGGATGTTTGTTACACAAGGCACAGTGGGGTCAATAAATTCATACTTGCTGCAGGTAGATCCTCTTCAGATCTCTAAACCTTTTGGGAAGTGTAAACATCAGTGCTAAGAATGTCATCTTGAAATTCCTGTGGTGTTTGTATTTATTAGTGGCAGCCCCTCGGAACATCTAATCTGCTCCCATCGAGCCAGCAGCTACTGACACATGACTGCAGAATGAGTGTGCTGGGAGTCATGCAGAGGGGAGGGATGGAGCCTGCACCTCCAGGGAGCAGCTCCCTGTGCTGGCACGGTGAAAGCTGAAAGCAGCACCCCCAGCTCAGTGTCCCCTGTGTCCCTGTGCCTGCCACAGTGCCTGGAGTGACCTGCTTGAGAACTCCAGCAGGTGCTGCCAGCTCTTTGCCTCCTGAAGCCTTTCTGTTTCTCTGACTGGATTTGGTTTTTTTTTTGTTTTTTTGGGTTTTTTTTTTGTAAGAAATCCTCTTATTGCCCAGTTCTATAACTCAGTGCAGAGTGGTTTTTGTGCCCACCCACTGCAGTGACCCCACAGAACGTCACCATCTCTCCTCTCCCTTCCCACCAGGTTACCCCTGTTCCAAGCCAGTGCTTTTGCATTCTTAGCACCTGCCAGAGCAATTCTCTCTCTGGAGAAGTGGAAGTGCAATAACACAGGTAATTGTTGTTTATCCTTGTTCAGGTTTAAGTGACAAATGGCCCAGGTCTCGTGGGGTGCAGCTGTCAGAGCTTCTGATATAAAAACTGGGAGTAAAGGGCAGAGAATATGTAAAGCCTCTCTTCTTACAGCGTTAAAATACTCTGCCACAGAAGATTTCTAACACTGTCCTGGTGGAGTTCTGTTTCTGGGGATTTTTAAAGTACAAAAACACTGACAAAAGAACTGTAACCATGTCATAAAGTAATTCCTCTGTTCAATTTACATTCTGCAAATGTTCCTTCCCGTAATGTTCCAAATGTTTGGAAATACTGAGTCCAACTGAACCCTTTGAAGTTGTGAGTGGGAGGGAGTTTGAGCAATGTACAGCATCACCTCCAGACCAGGATTTTCCCCTGTTGAAGTCATACCTGACAGGTTTTGACAAGATTTGGATGTTCCTTTTCACTCTTTCTTTGCTGCTGTTGTCATCCTGGAAGGTTTGAACTTCAGAGGGAAGAGATTCTGGCTGGGATGGGGGCATTTGCTTTAGACTGGGCTGCAAGGTGAAATGCCCCTGGCAGTTTTCATTGGGGGGTGGTTATTCAGCACCAGGGCTGTGGGCAGTGGGAAACAGCAGCACAGGGAATAATCAGGCTGCTCACTCCTGACTGAAGCTCTTCCTAGGGCTCCTCTGGACTCTCTAATAACTGAATTTCTGTTATTTGTGTGTTTATACATCTGTTAACTCACATTCAAGATGTGATTAACACCCAGCTTGTTGAAAGAAACTCTCTGATAACCCTGGGTGGCAAAGCCATTTTCCCCAGGACTCCAGACTGTCAAAAAGAGCTTTGCTGCATCTTCCTCCTGCACCCTTCCACCTCCCAGAGCTGCCAGGCGGGGATGTCCCCACGGGTCAGCTCGCTCAGTGACCTCCACTGGGTTTGTGATTCCTGGGGGCAGAACTCCTGACTGACCTTTCTGTCTGGAAGTCAGGGCATTTTGCTCTTGGAAGCCTGGTTGCTGGGGATTTTGGAGCAGAGGGAGAAGTGAGGGGTTGGCTCCTGGGGAAGGTGAGCCTGGTGTCCCTCGGTTTGAGCAGAACTCGCTCTCTGTGTGAACTGGGGCTGCTTTGTCACAGCGTGAGGAGGGATTTGGGTTGTGTGGAGTGGTGGCAGAGTGGCTGGGCAGTAAAAGAAATCTGTTTTTTCTCTCTTTTGCAAGATCTAACAGTTGCAAACGGAACAGCAGAGCTGCTGCACACGGAGCACATCTGGTACCCCCGGATACGAGAGGTAATGTGGGGCTTGCCTTTTGCTGTCACTCTCTCCAGTTCCAGTTAAGTTCCTCACTTGATCATCTGTGTCTTCTTGTCTTTAAGTTGGTAATTTCTTGTTTCACTGCGATCTCCATTTGAATATATCCCTTTACTCATTTCATGGAAGTCTTCATCTTTTCCACCTGCTCATTGCTGGACAGCAAATACCAGGAGTTAGTTACCACATCCCAAAAGACGTGCAGTGAAATGCTCAAGAGAGATGAAAACTCTTCCCGTAACCTTGATTTGTGCTCGCTGGCAGCAGTTCAGCTGCTGCCAGGCCCCTTGCCTGCTGTCCCTGTGCAGTGGGGCTGGCCCTGGAAGGTGAATGTGCAGTTAGGAAATCTGGTTCCCTCCCAAGTGTCTTAAGTTGGAGACTCTTGTGATAAGAGGCCGTTTCTCCCAAAAGACTTGTGAAATCCCTGCAACTCCTTCTCCACTGCAGTGTGAAGTCGTGGTGCCCTGCAGGGCAGGCTGAGGGCTGTGCCACGCCAGGGTGGCAGGTAGAGTAGTCCAAATGAAGGCGTGTGTCATGGAATTGATCTCCCATCCCGTTGCTTTGGGCTGCCAACTTTTTCTTAATTAAAAACAACCCCTCTCTCTTCCCCATGTTCAAACCATAGCTACATCCTGCCAAGAGCCCTGCAGCCAAGAGGGCTGACAGTCTCCTGAGACCACAACGCTGCTCTAATCCAGCTTCTAAGGAGCACTTGTGACCAATGCAGCACACACTCTGCCCCTAGGAGCTAGGAGCATCACCTCGTGGCGCACCAACCCTTGCCGTTCGATCTGAGAGCTTAAAGGTTAGCCTGGACCCCAGGTCTCCTGTCTGACAGTGTGATGTGCTTTCCACACAGCTTCCAGACTGGCCCACTGGTCTGTTGTGTAATAGTTTTGTGGAGAAAACCATAAGTGTTATGCTTAAAGCAATAAGTCACTTAAACATAATGAGCTGTTTTATGATGAAAAAAACAAAAAAAAAAATTGCTGAGTTCTTCTGTGTCACTGAATTCTTTTAACTGCAGTTTGTAATCCAGAGCAGAAAAACAAATGGTTTGCCTGTCAGATGGCACTGAGCTGCCTCTCTGCCCTGTTGTGTGTTCAGATCCAAGGTGCCATCATCATGTCCTCGCTGATCGAGGTGGTGATCGGGCTGCTGGGGCTGCCCGGGGCCCTGCTGCGCTACATCGGCCCGCTGACCATCACCCCCACCGTGGCCCTCATCGGCCTCTCGGGCTTCCAGGCTGCAGGGGAGAGAGCTGGCAAGCACTGGGGCATCGCCATGCTGTGAGTACCCCGCCTTTCCTCCGGGCAGGCAGAGTTTGGGGTGCCAGGGAGGAGGCAGCTCGGCTGCGTCGGTGCTGCCGGTGCGGAGAAGCACCACGAGAAACCCACCACGGGAAACCCACCATGGGAAACCCACCACGAGAAACCCACCACGAGAAACCCACCACGAGAAACCCACCACGAGAAACCCACCATGAGAAACCCACCATGAGAAACACACACACCACGAGAAACCCCCCACAAGAAACACACACACCACAGGAAACACACACACCACGGGAAACCCACCATGAGAAACCCACCACGAGAAACCCACCACAAGAAACACACACACCACGGAAAACCCTCCATGAGAAACCCCCCACAAGAAACCCCCCATGAAAAACACAAACACCACAAGAAACCCCCCACAAGAAACACAAACAGTCTGGATGAGATCAGCTGAAAATGTGGGAATAAGGACAGAGTTGCCTGAACCTTTTCTCTGGGAAGAAGTCCTTCCCTGGGAGGGTGGGGAGGCCCCTGGCAGCTGTGGCTGCCCCTGGATCCCTGGAAGTGCCCAAGGTGAGGTTGGACAGGGCTTGGAGCACCCTGGGATACTGAAAGGTGACCCTGCCCATGCCTCCTTCATGGACCTGGATGGGCTTTAAGGCTCCTTCCAACCCAAACCATTCCATGATAATGTGAACTGGAGGAGAGAGGAGAGGACAGTGGCCAAAAATAAGGTGTGGAGAGCAGAATTGTATAGAGCAGGAGGTGTTCTGGGAGCCATTGGCTGGCTGGAGTTCAGTGCTGTAGAAAAGATGATTTAACAAAGCAGCGGAGAGATGAAATGCAGTGAACAATTTATATTTCTGGGCTGGCACTGCCCGTTTCCTCCCCTGCAGCAGCAGGTAAATCCCACTGGTGGTGCTGGTTCCTCTGCCATTGGTACTGGTTTGTTACCTGTGCCCAGGAGAAACTCATTTGTGTGATGGCAGAGGGCACAAGCATTCCATAACCACCACCAGAGGCTGAGCCATCAGCAGAGAGGTTCCTGCCAGGGCACAAAAAGGCTTCCAGAGGGAATTTCAGGGCCTGGGGCGTGTGTGCCATCAGCTGTAGGGACCGGGGACATGAAAGAATGCAAAGGAATAGGAGAGGGAAATGAAGAGAAGGTAAAAGCTCCCCGTGTGGGTAAGTAGCCAAATTTAGAGGCTGGGAACCCCGTTTTAGGGAGAAAAGAGGCTGAACAGTTCCATGTGCAGCACCCTCTGTGCTGGCTGTGGGAGCAGGAGGAATGCCTTGATGAGATCAGATTGTGATCTCACTAATCTGTTTGCACAGTGCTTTGAACATGTAAAGTATTCTGTAAGTGCAGCTTATGATTAAAAGGGCTCTTTAATTCTCTTTTATCTTACATGTTGGCATCGTGAGTATTTCTGTGGTTCTGTTGTATTAAGCAGCTGATCCAAAGGAACATTTTATTTGTCTGTAAAACAAATTCTGTGCAAGCTGGGGCTAACGTTAAATGAATCAAGCAGATCTTTGAATTGGACATGGAAACGTGTAATTAAAGTTGACATTTTTGCAGATGGAAAGAAAAATAAATCAATTCAGGAGCAGGATTTAAATGGTACCCAGTCAATAAAGTATTTCTGGCTTCTGCCATGCAAAAATGTGCACTGGGTTGTTGAGAACAGCCCCAGAGCTCTGGGGAGCCACTCAGGAGTGAGTGTAGCTCGGAGAGGTGTGGCTCCTGGAATTGTCCTGGATTTCTCCCTGCACAATCAGCTGGGGGCCTCTGGGAGCTGCAGGTGCTTGTCCATGTTGGACAGGATTCCCAATTTCCCAATTTCCTGGCTTGTTCCATGGGTGCTTCATTCCATCAGACATTTGCATTGATGTTTGTGAAAAGGGGAATTACTCCTGAGTTGGGCTTTGCCTGTTTATCCAGATTTTCCTGGGGCAGTCAAGGGTTTGGGGCTGTTTCACAGCCAACAGAAAATTCATTGCAATAATTAATTATTGTATTTTTTTACAGCTCTGTACTGAATCAAATCCAAAGTCCTCAGGGCTGGTGTGTGTGAGGGAGGGGAGCCCGTGGTGGATTTTGGGGGAGATTTTGGGGTTTCATGGAAAAGGTGTGCTTTTTGCTGTTCTCCTGGACTGTTGAGGGCTGTAAATGCCTCTCCTTCTCCTCCAGACTGGGGGAAAGAAAAACCAGTTTGTGTCTGATCCGGGGCAGGAGAGAGGCTGAAAATCCTCTTTTTATTTTTCAAGTCAGCTGATAAAAACATCATCTCAGATGTCAGCAGGGCTTTTTTTCTTCAGGCAGCTCCAGTCTTTGGGAGGCCCTTTCAAAGCAGAGCTGGGTTGAGAATTGACAATTTCTTGTTCAGGATTGAGCAGCGTGCCCTGGCTTCTGATTTTTCAGAGCAGTGGGGGCTTATTTTAGCTGTAAAAAATATTTTTTAATGTCTGGAGGAGCTTAGCAGTTTCACTGGTGGGAATGCATAATAATTGAGACATCTAATACTGGTGAGCTGCACTTGCAGCAAATCTTGGGGCTTTTCATATTTAAAAAATGGGTTCTGAAGAACAGGAAAATTTCCCTGACAGAAGTTTCCTCAAGTGCTTTGGAGTTTCATGCAAATTTTGAAATGTAAAAATTCCTGTACACAGCCCTCCAGTTTTCCTGTTTCTTGCCAGGTGCTGGCAGCAAGTTTTGTGCCTGGGCCACAGGTGGGGTTTGGGAGGAAAAAGGGGCAGCAGAGGAATTTAAACTGAAAATCTCCCTTCAGTCTGCCCCTGATTCATTTTATCTGCTTGCAGCTGCTGAGTTTTGCAGCAATTCAGAATTCAAATTCTGATTGGGCATTTGAGGAATTATAATTTTAATCATTTTGCTGCCTTCAATTGAAAATCTGCATTTATGGTCCCAAGTGTCTGAAGGGGTTTGTGCTAAAAAGAATTTATCATATATTGGTGCTAATGACGTTTCTCTCTTGTCCCACTCTCCTCCTTTTTTCCTCAGGACTATTTTCCTAGTGTTGTTGTTTTCCCAGTATGCCAGAAATGTCAAATTTCCCTTGCCCATTTATAAATCCAAGAAAGGATGGACAGCATACAGGCTGCAGCTTTTCAAGATGTTCCCTGTAAGTCGTTGAACTTGTTCTTCCTTAGACAAAAAAATATCATTTCTGTTTTTTGGGGGGGCTGATAATTCTTAGTTTTGATTTTTCTTCACAACAGAATACTCACAAAGGCAAGATAAAAGTTCAGATGGATTTATAGGAAATGCAATGGGTTATTGGCCAAAGGAAATACTCAGATTTTGTGATGATTTGTTTTAAGGTGTTTATAGTTCAGCATGGTAAAAAGTTGATAGGTTAAGAAATGTTCATAGTGTTTTGTAATTAAGAAATAATTTTTGGGTCTTGATTGTGATGTCTTGAATTATAATATTTGTGGGTTTTTTAATGAGATTGAAAACAAAATGAAAGTTTTTAGAATGTTTTTTAGTTATTTTATTTTTGGGTTTGTCCAACAAATTAGACAAAACACTATAAACATTATATAGCTATATAATATTAAAATGCTATACTATAAATACCTTGAAACAAACAATCTAAAACTACCCCTCATAAATCCTACTGCATCTTCCATAGTTCTATTTCTCCAAAATATCTAATCTTACTTACAAAACCATCCTTGAAAACTTTTTCCAACTCCATTTCTCTCTCAACATCTATCCTCTCGCATAACATTTCTAAATCAATATTTATCTCAAAGTAAATACAGTATGTAGAGTATATAGTATGTGTTTTACATACTATTTGCATACTATATACACACAGTATATATGTATTTTACATACTGTTTACATATAGTATCTACATGTATTATGTATTTTACATACTACATACATACAGAATCTATATATAATAGTGTTTTACATACTATTTATATACAATATCTATATATAGTATATATTTTACATACTATTTGCATATAGTATCTATATATTATATATATTTTTACATACGATATACATACAGTATACATAATATGTATTTTACATGCAAATGCATACAATATGTACATATAGTATTTTACATATTTTATACATACAGTATGTGTTTTACATACTATTTACATACAGCATATATGTATTTTACATACTATATACAAACAGTACGTATGTAAATGTATTTTACATACTACATACAAACGGTACATATGTATATGTATTTTACATGCTATTTACACACAGTATCTATATATGGTATGTATTTACATGCCAATCCATACAATATAAACCTCCTATCAAACCCTAAAAGCTCTCCACCAATCCAGTTCCCCCAAGACCATCCTGATTTATATACCTGCTGTGCCCCCCAGATCATCCTAATTTATTTACCTGCTGTGCCCCCCAGATCATCCTGATTTATTTACATGCTGTGTCCCCCAGACCCTCCTGTTTTATTTACCTGCTCATGTCCCCCATATTCATCCTAATTTATTTACCTGCTGTGTCCCCCAAATTCCTCCTGATTTATTTATCTGCTCATGTCCCCCAGACCATCCTGATTTATCTGTCTGCTCGTGTCCCCCAGATCATCCTGATTTACCTGCTGTGCCCCCCAGACCCTCCTGATCCATTTCCCTGCTCGTGTCCCCCAGATCATCCTGGCCATCCTGGTCTCCTGGCTGCTGTGCTTCATCTTCACGGTGACGGACGTGTTCCCCCCGGACAGCTCCAAGTACGGCTTCTACGCGCGCACGGACGCGCGCCGCGGCGTGCTGCTGGTGGCCCCCTGGTTC